AAATTATTAGTGTTTTAACTTTAATTGTGTAAAGTAAATTAAAGTGTTAATTTAGGTAATTTTATCGGCAATTTTTATTGTCACGAACCTCAAGCTCGTAACAATATTATAATAACCCTTTTTATACAAACTTAGTTTAATAACATTTTTGAACTTTGTGTATGATAAATTTTGTATATTTTCTGGGATTTTGTTGTAAAAGCGCATACATCGCCCCAATAATGAATTACTGACTCGGTGGAGTCGAGTAACTGGTACTGCTAGCTTGTGTCTGTTCCTAGTATTTACAGAATGAATATCACTTATTTTCGCAAAACTACTTTTTTTTGTGTACGTACATTACATTTTCATAAATGTATTGAGAGGCCAGAGTTAAAATATTAATTTCCTTAAATTTTTGTCTCAGTGACTCTTTTGGTTTTAAATTATATATTGCTCTAATGGCCCTCTTCTGTAAAATAAATATAATTTCAGTGTCAGTCGCGCGTCCCAATAGCAAAATACCATACGACATAATGCTATGGAAATAACTAAAGTAGACTATTCTAGCTGCTTCAACATTGGTTCTAATCTTTTTTACAGCATATGCTGCAGAACTAAGTCTGCCAGCTAGTTTTGATATATGGGGGATCCATTGAAGCTTTGCGTCCAGAGTGATTCCAAGAAAAATGGTGGTATCAACAAGACTCAGTTCCTCCCCATTTAAAATTACATTAGTATTGACATGTTTAACAGAATTTCATACATTTAGTTTTAGTTCCATTCAAATGCAAATTATTAACATTAAACCAATTAACTAACTTAGCTATAGCATTATTTACTACGTCGTAATTTAATAACTGTCGTTTTAATTTGAAAATTAATGAAGTATCATCAGCAAATAATACTATATCATGGTTATCCCATGAGGAGCATCTGCTCTTCCGACCGACGAGCCTGTTCCGCCTGCTGATCTTCCAACCGACGGCCCTGTTCCTCCTGTCGGCGGGCCTGTTCCTCCTGTCGGCGAGCCTGTTCCTGCAGCAGCATCATGAGAGCACCTAAGTCAGATGCTGCAGGTGTAGGAGCTGCTGACGGGCCAGCCTCCGTGGCTGGCAGTTGGCCCTCCGACATCTGCGGCGTTGCACCACCAAATCTTCTCTGGTCCGTCTCCTGCTGGCGTTGACTTCGGGTACGGACACCCTCCAATTCCTCCTTAGGTAAAACCGGCATGATTTTATCCCACTTCTGACAACAATTGTTACCAATAATGACTGCCGATTGAATTACCAAAATTTAGACTTTTACTACCGAACACCAATTAAATTTTAAAAGACACTAATAATTAATCACACTGATTCACTTTATTTCGCTCCGAAGCTTCGCTTGTCTCGTCAAATGCAATACTGCCCCGATCGCGGCATGCAGCGACTTTAAATACACCTTTTACACCGAAACATCCAGAATATTCCAGTAGATACGGGCGCCGACCGACCAGACGCAGAAAGTTCGAGTGGGCTTCTAGAAAGCTTAATTCTTCTGATCGATACTAGATGGCGCTGTTGGTCGAGTCAATTTTGACATTTTCTAGGAAGCCCTCCTCGCTCTGGTCCCCGACACTAGATGGCGCTAGTGTCAGGTACCTGACGTCAAGTTAGGCGGCAACAGCATATTAAAGAAACCATTTTTAAATGATTTTATCCAGCAATTATTGCTGCAGCACGAATGGGTTGGCTCAACCGCGATAGAACCATGCTGGCACAAAATAGCAAGTGAGATATCACCATCATGTTGCTGTTTTGTACGGTGAGTATCCTTAAATATTTGGGCATTATAATAGATGAAAATCTTAACTTCAAAAGTCATATATCGGCGACATCAGCCGGGATCCGCTGATACACACGATGAGACTATTGAGAGATTCTACTGATGGCAGCATTTTAAAGTCCGTCTACCTTGCACTATGTCAGTCCATACTTAGCTATTGTATACTGGTGTGGGGTGGCATATCCTCCTCTACGTTGATAGTGCTGGAAAGGCCCCAGATGGCAGTTTTGAAGGTAGCTATGGGTAAATCAAGGCGCTATCATACGTCAGATTTCTTTAGAGAAGCTCAAGTCTTAAGGGTCCGTAGATTGTATCTTCTGAGGGCCTTTACATTTATACAAAGGGAAGCTTCGAAACTACCGACGTTTGATACTTTAATAAATAAAAGAGTGTTTAAGATCCCCAGTCTTAGTTAAAACATCTTTCGCTCAACATTCCAGACTGTTCCTATTCCCTCGCATCTACAACAAACTAGTCAACTTATATGGCTTAAAACGATCCCAAATTTATGAGGCTAAAATAAAAATGAAGTCATTTATTGACTTGGGACTATGAGAAATCAGAAGAAATATTGGTGACCCTAAATAGGTATTAAAACAGTAGTGGACACCAATGGCGCATGGCCTGTCATCCGATTCCAAGAATTTAATCGTAAGGCTACCTAGCCACTCAAACGTATCCCCAATTGCAATCTCTCACCCTTTTACTTATAATTTTTAGAGAATTGTGCAATAGGCATGCTAGCATACGCTCTCTTACACACACTCCTAAACACACACACACACACACACGCGCGCGCGCGCGCTCACACACGCACACGCACACGCACACGCACACGCAAACGCACACGCAGACGCACACGCACACATTCTTACACACTCACCCACAAGTACACGCGCGCTCCTTATAATTAGAATCTGTTTGTTATGTCTATAATTTTTAATTTAAGTTATTTTTGCTTCCCTGCGCATAATTGTTTTACGTAATTTCGACAAATATCCACTTTGATCTACTGTAAAATCTTTTTTTTTTGACCCCCATGAGACAGGCCGTGCCTAGTGTGGGAATCACAGAACTTATTGTATTTTTTTTTCTGTTTTTCTAGTAAGTAAATAAATTTATTATTATTTTGGGAAATATATATAGTTTTCTCATCTGGTTGGGTTCTTTATTTTTGGTTTCTTTATTTTATTATTATTATTATTAGTAATAAGAACCGGAGACCCATGTTACTGGTAAAGAGGCATTCATCTTAGTCCTCAGGGATGAAAGCTCATCTGCATTTTGATTTTTAATAGAGGACAGATTTATCAAACGGACTGAGAGCTCGTTTGTCAGCCTTCTGTAAAACAAAAAACTGTGTGTACACGTAAGAAGTGAAACTTCTTTGCGACATATCGTTCTTCTTTGATTTTATATTTCACATAAGTAGGTTTAATATTATAATATTTTTAACACCGGACGAAATTTCTCCACTACGTCGATAAAGAAGTTTTACTTCAAAAATCTTAATTTGTCGGTCGTTTTATCAGGATAATTTTTTTTTATCTTCACGCACAATCCCTAACGGGGTAGCCAGAGAGAACAGATCGCCAAGTGTCACGATCCTTACATACCTCTTTCGCTTCTTTCAGGTTCATTAACTTCTTCATACATGCACGTCTAGGTATCCGAGTACTCTTGACCCTCCCCTCTTCGAGCAATTTGCTCACATGGTCTTCGAAAGTTAGTCTCGGTCTACCTCGACACCTTTTTAATATTTACTTTCGCTCTATATATTTTCTTCACCATTCGGTCTTCACTCATTCGTTCAACGTGCCCAAACCATTGGAGTACTCCCCTATCAATTTTTGTGATAATGTCATCTTTCAATCCTGTCATATTGCGAATCTCTTCGTTTCGCTTTCGGTCGGCTAAGGTAACGCCACACATTTTACGAAGAGATCGCATCTCCACTGCATTCAACTTGCTTTTATGCTTCTTCTGGCATACCCAGGTTTCGCTGCCATATAACAAAGTCGGTACCAACACTGCATTATGTATTGCAAGGCGTGCACTCTTCACCACGCCTTGCCTTTTTACTAATGCATTCAGGGCACCATTGATTTTGTTTCCGGCAGCGACACGCCTATCCACATCTAAATCACATCTACCATCCCGGCTGAAAGCACTCCCCAAGTATACAATTTCATTTACCTGTTCTAGACATTCCTGATTTACCCATATTTAACATTTCGTTCTCTCTTCGTCCTTTTCAAATACCAGGATAATAAAATTACAAAACTATTTTAACGAATTTATTATAAAAATAATATTTATAGCCTACAGTATTTTCTTACATTTATGCAGGGTTGCAGCATTCAAACGAATGAAATTTTGCTTAATTTTATCGACGGAAAAGATAAAAAAGTAGGTCATTTAATTTTTCCCATTTTATGGCGTTTTTTAAATTACTGTTCGCTACAGTAACTCCCTGTCTAATTTTCAAAAATTCCATCGACAAAAATTGATTTAAAAAAATCTAAGTTTTGTTAGAAAACCGTCTTAATTTTGAATTGTGGGCTGCTTTTGGTCTCAATTTTAATTTTATGAAGTAGAAGAAGAAGGAATTTTTTCATTGTAATAGATC